TTTTGTTGGACCAAAATACCCTTCATCTTTTGTTGCCAAATAGAAAAATCATCTTTTCCATTAAAAATTTCAACTTCAAAGTGTAAAGACATTTTAAGAAAAACGGAACAACCAAAACACAGATATTTCACACAAAGTAATCTTAAGGTCGCAATATGCACCGTTCTAGATTCCCAGAGTTTTGTAAGATTCACGATCTTAGATCAAGGGAATGTTCAAACGGGTCAAGTTCAGGTGTTCTAATGGGATAATTAATGCAAACACGAAGGTATATAAACAAAAAATTTCAAATTTTCACGCAACAAGTCTTACACAATGACTATATGACAGATAAGCACAAAATCAACTACCAATCTGCAATCAAAATTCAACACTTCAAAATAGAGCAAATAATTCCTAAATTTTTTAGCACAAGCAATGGTTGCCAAATAATAACAACCCCCAATCCTATTGATCACCCCGCACGATAATCTGCTAGTACGATAATGTTAAAGTTTCAGCCAATTTACCAGAGCGGACCAATCCGAATCCGTAAATTATGAGACGCTCGAATTTAACACTTTAGGATCACCATTATTAGTCCTAAAGTCTCTGAAAACTGCAGCAACCAAAAAATCATGATTGAGTCTCGAACGCCCGAAGAACAACGCTGTCCAGATTCTTCTGTAGGCCTTGAAACAAAAAACTTTCAACACGAAAAATGTTAGAAATAATGCAAAGAACAAACTGCCTGGAGAGATCATTGCCAAAAAGGCTCCACGCACCCACATGCACCATCACTCTCTTTGGCGTGGGCTTCACGCATCGCCCTGCAGGGTTCTCCTTCACCTGCACATCATGTCGGTGGTCTCTATTTCCCAAAAATCCTTTTGGATTGATCAGAAAATGCGAAAAACGGAGATTGATTTTGACAGTTTTTTCGATCTGATTTCTGGACGATTTTTTGCTATATTTCAAGAGCCAAAACCACCACCTTGAAGCTCTGATACCAAATGTTACGAAAGCTCTCTTGAAAGATCTTCAAATCGGTGATTTTCGAGCTCAGTCAAACGTACCTTTCTCTACCAACAACCAATCTAATCGGCTCCAAATCACAACCAATTAACTCATCTCGGTTGCTATTCAATCTTACCCACGTAGGACAAGAAAAGATGATGATTTGTGGCCACAAAGACTAGGAGAAGATACCACAAAGTTATACTATGAAAGAACTACCAATTGCACACGTTACACAAGCGTTTTGAACACTTCTAGAGATCTTTTTTTCACACATGAAGGGGCAGCCGAGATTCCTCTATTTTTTTCACAAAACATCACAAGAAAGTGGCTAGGGTTATAGTCATATATATACTCTAGGGTTAGGATTTAAGTTGGACCTTTAAAGAGGTAAACGGACCAAGATTTAAGCCATCCAAGAGGAAATATAATTGAGTCGGATGTAGCTCATGGACTTGGTTGTTGGACTTATTTAATTCATCGGCCTATGCCTATAAAATAATATTAACCCACGTTAACATCATAGTCGAGGATTTATTGGGTATCAAAAACCCAACAAAAGTTTTCACATAACGCTATTCTCTAAGAAAAGGATTCCTTTGCAAGGAGTCGAGTCTTGAAATCGAACCTAATGGCAAAGAAAATGAACTATTTTCTTTGGTACTGCTTCTGAGAAAGAAACAAGAGAAAGTTAAAAATCTAATTTAGAAATACATTTTAACACTCGGAGAAGAAAGAAATTAAAAAAAAATAAAAAAATCTTACTATCTTGGCCTAATATTTCAACGGCTTTCTCGAATAAATCATGCATTTCTTTGGTCCACACCACCCTTGGTTTCTTTTTCATGGAGGAATTATCTTTCCCACGTTGAGTTTATTCAACTTTATTTCTATCTTCTTCTCTCTTTCGTTTATGATGATCTCGTAATGATTCACTAATTGATGGTGACTTAGTCTCTTCGGATGACATAATGTCTCTCGAGAATTCCCTTTTACCATCATTTTGTCACTTTCTCGAATACAATTTGCCAAAGTTTGATTTAATTTATCCTTGCTAAATGAGTTCACAAGAAGAATGCAAATTTCCTTGCTTCCATTAGATTGACTAGATTTTTCATCGGGGCACTTTCATGGTGCCCATTCTTGAAAATTAATGATAATTGTGAAGAAAATCTCTTAAAATCTGAGATTTTTTTTAACACATACCTCTAATTGTTATGTTTTAAAACTTAAAACATTTGGATCGATCTTGAGAAAAACACTAAATAAACTGCAGAAATCAAAGAAAATCAACACAGGATATGTTTTGCCCTTTTAAAAGGGTCCGGTGTTCGATTTTGCAACCTAATCACCCGTTGAGCATCTTTCACGAGATTAAGCTCTAGATCCATTAATAACGAACAAGAACAACATACAAATGTACGAAGAAATTGGAAATTTCTTCGAGTTTATCTTGCCTCTTGACACAACAACAACAACATTGCTATCACTCTCACAGATTGCACAAAACAACCATTTCTCTTCACAAAGATCAGAATAATATCAATCACAAAGATCGATTTCATCTAACATGGCCAAACCCTAATTTTCACTCAGAAACCAAGGACAGAGAGAACGACAGAGAGTAAGATGAAGAGACTACACAACAGAAGTCTCTAGAATGAATAATTGAAAAAAGGCTAAGACCCTTAAGTATCCGTATCCATCCAATAATCAGAGGGCAGAGATTTAGCCGCGTGTAAGGCTAAAATTAATTTTTGAAGAGGCGTTTTTTTTATCAAAACACGATTTCATTAAACTTGAAATTACCACAGCAACCCGATGGAACATTTGGCCCAATAACAGAGGCCCACAAAGTCAAGAATCATGTGAGGCAGCCCACAAACACTTAACACTAATAAATGCTCTTAATAGCACAAACGTGACCATATATTCTTGGAATGAAAACTTTGTTGTATAGGCGAAAATTTTGTATGGTAATAAGAGCAAGTGCACGACATGATTAATTTAAGGATGTATCGGAATATATTTATGTATATTAAATCACGTGTATTAATGTCAATTTATATTATTCAGTATATGTTAATTATTTTTCCTTATTTGGTACATTTCATTTTTATGAAAATATTATTTATAATTCAATCACAATTACTATAATTCATTAAAACTTTACCAAATTCTAATCATCCATGTGCCGGATAATGCCTCAAGGAATATACACTTTGTCAAGTATGTGTGTCTAATTCTAAATATTGACCATATTATAATCTTATGTACTAATGTCTCAAAGACATAACTAATGAAACGAGGTACATGTAAACATAGTGGTAGTACTCCTAATTATCATATTAAGGATATGACGATTCAAAGGCTGCCATTATGTATAATGCGATCATCATTTTGGTACTCGAGAATTCATTTCAGGCTTCTGAAAAATATGAGTATACATAATTCTTTAATGAGATGGTGAATGTTCTTTTTAAGCATTCAATCTTTGATACTAATGAATTTAATAATACGTTTAATGCATTATCGTACTTGTGATTGGACCACAAATATTTTATCCATTTAAGAAAATACAACAAATATAAGGGAAAAAAATTATTGGAAGGATAAAACATTTATAAACAATTTGAATGTTAGCATACGATCTATTTAGATTAATATGCATAAATAAACCTGCACAAATATCTTGAATTAATTATGCCATACATTTTCAGCAAAAGCAATTTTGTTGACAATACAACAAAACCAAGTCAAGGACCAGTTTGCAATATTCCCAAGAACCTGAAAATTCAGGGACTAATTTGAAGTATCAAAACGATCCAAGGACAAATTTGTATCTACCTGGAAAAGTCAAGGACAGAATCGTAACAAAAGGAAAATGCAGGAGCAAGAATATGGTGATCAGAATAAAGAGTTTTGATAGAGGAAGAAAAACCAACTTGTCCAAAATTTTGCAATTCTACTAGCGAGTAGTTCATTGGATTGAGATTGGCAAATGATCTAAAATTGACCGTAATCAGAAATATTAATTTTCGATTCAAGAACTACTGAACATGAATTTAACGTCTTTCAATCAGTAACATTCATTGGAATTCAACGTTTTTCGACTACATTTTCAAACAACATTCTCCAATAATGAATCCTCCCTGCGATATTCAACATCCCACCCACACATGAGAAATCAGCCCCATACACAAATGCTGCAAGAATTAACTAATTTTGTCAATGAAGGGAAGGTGGGCAGTATGTATATATATGAAGAAATTAAAATTGAGTAATGCCATGATCTCAATATTAATTTCATATGTTGTCCAGAAATATTCATATTCAAGAACCAATATTATAATTATTCTTCTTCATATTCTGTGTTTAAAATTTCATGCACCATTATCTTCAATTAATGAAATGTGTAGATTCATGGTTTATTTACATACTTTATATAATTAAAATATATTCATTTGTTTTAGATAAATTAATGTTCACTTAATTAGATACAATAAGAATACATTTGTATTATTAAATATTATAATTCAATATAAATAGGATTTTCGTAATTAAAAGTGAGAATTGTTGTAAAATTAATAGAGATATGGGAAAATTCCACTGAAGTTTATCGAACTTGCTGGTTTATTTTATGTTGGTCACCTAACTTCAATTAATTTCAATTTGATCATCAACTTTGGTCAATAATCTGAGCTTCTTCCACTTAATTTATCAAAACAAACAAGAACTCACGAAAACACAATTTTTACACGATTCAGTCCTCAAATATCCATGTTCACAGGCGATGCACGCTTGCATGGATTTGTCAAGATGGTCGAGAAAGAAAATTACAGTCCCAAAATTGATGCAGTGGACTCGAGAGAAGAACCAGTGTTGGGAATCCCGAGCTTAGACAGTCCATCACATTTCAATTTTCAACACCCGTAGTGGAGTATAAACAGAGGGATTCGAGTCCATAGCCAAAGAATCATGCTAAGGAACTCGAACTCTGCTGAGTGAAGTTTATGTTGAATTTATAAGATTTGTAAGCTAATATTTTAATTCTGGAAAACATATTTACATTTAACACGAGTATTGATACCAAGAGCTGGAAAGGAAATCTTCATTTACAGACAAATTCAGGTTTATGACAAAATAAGTTACGTTTCTACTGCCTAGTCAAATAAAAGCCTACGCCTTACGGACTTGGATAATCTTGTGCTTGGCTCTTTCCTTTTTCCTTCAGAGGAGCCAAGATCATTCTCCTCCAGTGTGTTTTCGCAAAGGACTTTCGAGGAACGATAAAATTCAGTAATGCTAAGCTGCACATTTTGAGATGTGGATGATTCTGAGTTTTTGGGTGTCCCTTCAGACCTTAAGCTGGATTTCTTCTTTCTTGATTTCCTTTCTTTCAGTTCCTGGTGGCCCATTTTACATAATTATTATGAGAGTAACAGAAATCCTGTTTTCCTTTTCTTTTATGAAAGAGGGGGAGAGAGAGAATTGCTCACCTTTTCTTTTAAGAATTGGTCGACCTTTTCTGGAAAGGCATTTCGGACAAGCTCCATATCTTCATCTGTGGACAGAAAACAGCACCCATCATTGATGCAAACAACGGGCACATCAGGTTCTTCTAGCAAATCATTAGATTCATCAGGTTCTTCAGATCCCTGCAGTCTATCAGGCTCTTCGGGAATTACAGACATGGCATCACTCAATGCGTTAACAGCTTTCTTCCACTTAACCACGTAGAACTGAAGCCCAAGTCTTATTTTCACACGCTGGATACTGTGGAACTCATAGTGTCCATATAACAAGTCATTTGTCGGACTTGATGCCATATCTCGCAAATAGATAGTTGATAACATGGGAAGCATTCTTTGCCGAATATAAGATGGCTCCCAATGCTGCTGATAAGTGAGATAATCAACCAGCATTTCAGTCTTTGGGCTTGCCCACTCTATACATGGATCATCATCTGCCACAACACGGACCCAGAAGATTAATAAGTGGCTGCTGAAACAGCAAAAATCCAGTAACAAAAATATGAACAATTTAAAGACACTAAGCAATACCCTAGAAAGAAAAGCAAAAACTGTAATTGTGCTGAGCTCATGATAAAGAAGAGCAGCGCAGATCACCAGACCCCAGTACATCACCAATGTCTTCAGGATACATGGCGATAATTTCATCTATTTCTCTCTCAACATGCATAATACACATATATGAGACTATAAAGTTTATTTGCCAATTTTCCTTTTTCTTCCGTTCTTTTTCTTTCTTGTCCTGGCATTGAAAACCATGCTTAAAGTTAAAAAAAATTTCATACCAGTTCCATGGTGGTTGCTCAGGTACATCTGAATAATTTCATCGTTTGGAAAATTTTTCTCCAATGCAATCTTTCTACAAACATTTATTTGCCAATTCTCCTTTTTCTTCCGTTCTTTTTCTTTCTTTTCCTGGCATCGAAAACCATGCTTAAAGTTAAAAAAACAAAAGCACAGAAATCTAAAATCAAATACCAAAAGAATTAAGTATGCAGAACTAAAAAACTCTTGAAACAGAGATGGGAAAGACAGTTAAAAGGTAGACCAAATCACACGACAAGCAATCACATTTGAATCCAACGAATTTCTGCTTGCAACTTTGGCCAGCAGTTGAACCACAATATTCACAAGAAAACTTCAGATGAGATATCTTGCTGCCTGGATGCCCACAGTGGGAACAATGAGAAGATTTTGTCTTTGGTAAATTCTCATCAGAACTACGTAAAACTTCAGAGTCGATACTTCCCTGGATCACCAGTGCACCTCCTCTGCCTATTTCATGTAACCTGAGTAGCATTGTAATAAATTTACTTATGATAGAGTTGCTTATTGAGAACCAACATTTTCGTACAGCCTATAGCCCCAAAAATTTAAGAAAAATATGACACGCATGCTCAAGGGATATAAATCACATACCTATTCAATATTTCATCTTCACTGAAACATTTGACAAAACGAAGAGCTGTATCAATCCCAATGCCCGCAACACCACTTAAATCATGATCGCTTCCAACCAACAGAGAAATAGCTATCAAATGATTTCTCGTAAGTCCAAGACCAGCCTCAATATCAGATATATGGTAGCATTCAAATGGTTCCTGAGCAAGATAGATAGTCACATCCTTGCAAGGGCATAAGAGAATGGAGAATTTCTCAACTTAATCAAAGAGACAAGTATAATACAGGAAAAAGAGAGATAAATACCGTAAAATTTGTGTAAAAAACATTGATACAAGATGAAAATCACGTTTATTTTGTGTATTGACGTGATATATCCCAACTGATAAAAGTACTAATCCAACTAGGGCCAAGAAAAAAAAAAAAAGATCCTTGCAAGGGCATAAGAGAATGGAGAATTTCTCAACTTAATCAAAGAGACAAGTATAATACAGGAAAAAGAGAGATAAATACAGTAAAATTTGTGTAAAAAACATTGATACAAGATGAAAATCACGTTTATTTTGTGTATTGACGTGATATATCCCAACTGATAAAAGTACTAATCCAACTAGGGCCAAGAAAAAAAAAAAAAGTCTATTCCCTATGTTTGGAATCAAGGGACCTGGTTGACTTTCACAGTAAAATAGATTGCTTTTCCCAGTCATTTTTTGTTTATAATTTATTCACCTTTTTCATTAGATGATGTTTTCAAATGATAATATTTGATGGGAATTTTTTTATCTGATAATTTTCCTTCAGAAACTAAAATAACAAAAACTAAGCACTGTTTGACACTGAAGTTAAATCAAGTCATCCAACTTCTAATAGACAGCATACGAACTTTCCTAAACAAACTTAAAAAAGATGAGAAAATTATTTTTAAGGTGTACACACTTGGGTAACACATATAAAAATTGGACAGTGAGACATAACAAACACAAGGTGGACGAAGCAACACAACAAACTTCAAAACGAAAGAGGTCAATGCAGAAGCAACGAGCTTTCTCTTCCAAACCTCACACTCAGTTCGTGAAATATAACAAGACACCATCAGAGTCCCAAGTTCGCATCACTCGTGAATGTTTATTTTACCCAACACTTGAATTAATTCATGCCACAAATTAGCAAACCATCAACCACATCAGCAATTCAGTATAAAGCAAGTATCACCTCTAAGGTTGTTATGTGATTATTTAAACCTGTGATATCCAGAAGAGTTTTCATTCTTAATTTCTCCTATAATACCAGTGCATTACTTCTTTCATTTTTAAGGCATGCTTCTGAATTCCAATAAACCCTATTCTTCCAATTCCTAGGAAAATAGGGTCAGTACGTTGACTCTCTAGTTCCACTGTCACGGTGGGTTTAGTTGGGTGCAATGTAGGACCACGGGAGAAATACAGGGTATGATATAAGTGAAAGAAATCAAAGGCGTGCATCTGCCGCATTAAGACTATGAATTGGATAAAAATATCTGCAAAAAATTATATAAAAGTCTTGATTCACGTGACATGGACTGGAATGGTTCCACCAACCTAGGGACCAAATTAGGAGATCTAGCCCCCCTTCTATCAAAACTGGAGATCAAATTGTAAGCTCTTGGAAAGCAGTAGCTGCCTCAGGAACAACCAAAAGCAAGAATATGGTTTTCAGGGCCACACAGCCATAAGAAAGTCCCACCACAATGTCTTAAGCAGCTTAAAAGTCTTTTTAACTCTTAAAACCTTATTCAACCCTAAAACCTCAAATCTCTGTGATAGTTTCGTCCAAGACTCTAGAACTCTATTACTTGAACTCTTGTAAATACATATCCTGCTTCATAGAAACCGAGGAATTTTATCATGCATCTGGCATGAAATTCTTGACTCAAAGAAGTTAAAAAGAAATGTATCACTTCATTAGTCCAAAGCTATGATTGTCTCCACCAGTAACCACATATTTCACGAACTGCAAAATATTCAAGCAAGAGCTTCTTTTCTCTACTTTTTAAGAATCAGTATTCTACTCTATTGATCAAAGATAATCAACGCAAACTTAGGGTTTTGCTCCTTTCTAGATAAGGTCAGCTCTCTTCCACCAAAGGTCACAAGAAAATTTTAGTATTGCAAACTGAAACCATATCCTCATCATGACAGAGCAACAATAACATCAAATTGGCCAATGGCAATGAAAGATCATTTTTGAAAGAAAATCAAGAACCACGAAAAATGTACTTTTGAGTTGATCTGGAGTCGCTTGATTATACATTGGGCCCCGAAAAGAAATGCATCGCTGTCAGCAGTGATACAAGCATCAACAATTCCTTCTCTATTTAATTGTGCACAAAGTGCTTCAGCTTCACCTTTTGCTTTTAAAACAGGCATTCCAAGGAGTTCAAGCAATACCTAGCAGAATAAGACCATGAACAATTAGACAACTTTTAAAACATGCTAAAAGCAATCAACTCTTAACATTAGAATATATAAACCTACTCCTATGACATATTATAGTTTAATTAATTTAGATGAAATCAAGTTCATGAAGACTTAACATATATCCTCTATATGTACTAAACAAACACTACCCTGCCTGTAGTAATTTCTCAGACATTTTAACCTAGCTGGATTTGTATTAATACAGCAAAATCTTAATTAGCTTGATGCTTGGCATGAAAGCAAATCGAATGAACAATTTAGTAAATATTCAATCAACAATGAAATCTCATATTTCTAGTCTATGATGGATAAATGCTACACGACAAAAAGAAAGTCGGTGTCATCTATGCATCAATTCCCTGCACATTGACGCAATGCTAATAAATTGAAAGACAAGTGTGACCCTAAAATAACATCACAATGTTGAAGTTTGGCTTCATGATTGCTTCAGATAGGTAAGCTTCTCAGCATCAGAACACGACACATTTCATCTCAGAATATTGCAACAAGATATAAATTTATAAGCAAAATAATAGGAACTCATCTCACCACACATTCTTCAACATATTTCACAAATCTCGAGTTCCTTTTGACTGATACACCCTCCTCCACCACCGGAAAACTTGACAAATCAAGACCAGAGGCTCTGAAAAACCGCACAGCCCTCGCCTGAGACTTTAATGACGATGGCGTCCCATCAACTACAAAGACCGGGTAGGCCCCAAACTGCACAATAATGACAGAATATCAACTCTCACTCGAATTCTTTAAAGAACTATCAAGTCAATTTCCAGAATTAAAGCAATATACATCCATGGCTGCATACCAAATCAATAGCTAATTCAAGTTTTATGCTTTTTATCATGCTTGTTTTCAATAGAATTCTTCCAAGTAAGTCCATCAAGTGTATTCTTGGTTAATAAAGCGGCACCGATTAAAAGATATGATGACAAACTCAAATTTCTTTATACTTTTTCATTTTTACAGTTGAGGCCCAATTCAAGTTCACCCTCAGGAACGAACAGACTTCTTACAGAAACCCCAAAAATGAACGTACTAGGGAAAACGTAAAACACATGAAACATCAAAGTTTGTGTGTATTAGACAGTTGTACATTTGGAGTTTAAATAACGCAGCGTGCAAATAGAGTTGTACCTTGGAAAAAAGGTTGATGGTACGGAAAAAGGTAAGCCTAAGGTGAGGTTTCCTGGCGAATCCTTTAATAGCAGTTTCATGCTGGACAATCCAGTACGACAGGTCCACGGCCACCCGTTTGTTCCTCAAGAAATCAAAGCCTTCATGTCGGGCATAGGGCTTGAGCAAATCCCAGAAGTTCCCTCCAACACCCATTGTGGTTGCAATGAAAACAGATGGGCCTTTTAGGTAATTAACTGAAGAAAGTGAACAGTGAAATTGGCGGTGAACTGATCACACATTCCTTTTACAGGGACAGAAGAAGATGGAGGGTGTCGTGGGTTAAGGAAGGAAACTCTATTTTCTTAGCCGTTAGGCCCGCTACGGATGAAAATGCGCTCCTGCTATGTTTTGTTAGTTGGGCTTGAATTACTAGAAACGCCATGGGGTTTCTCTCGACGACTCGGGCAGATTAAAAATCATAACAACAACAACAGCAATACAATTTCTGTCTCCGAACCTAGCATTTGTTTGATTCTTTTTTTTTTTAATATATTTTTCTTTTCTTTTTAATCACACATTTTTTAATAAAGTAATATTATATACAAACCTAAAACATTTTATTACTTTTTGACTACACATTATTCATCAATCTATTATTTGAAAGTGCATTCTAACCAAAAAGTGGGAGTCAAACATTCCCTAAAATAGGGACAATACAATAATTAAAAATATGCTCGAGAAGTGTTTATAAACTATTTAAATTATAAATAAATATAAGGAGAAGTGAATATTACTTATAAATTTCTCGAAATGTATAAATGAAAAATGGCGTGGGTATTATGAACGCGAACCAAAAATTGGCCAAGTAACATTCACAATAATTTGAAATCAATTATAAATATCATTTTTTTTTTCATTCTATTAGAATTCTTTTATTTTAGCCGTTCGTCTTTTAATCTTGTTCCATTGAACTCTCATAGCTCTTTTAAACATGAATATCTTTAACTCTATGCAAACTATTATGTTGCTCTTAACTTAATGAACTTTTAAAATGTGCACATATTGAACTTGTATACTTAATTTCCTTTATCACAAGTTGAGTCTAGATCTACTCGAATATTGAAAATACCAGTTAAAAAGATGTCATAATTCCTGTAACGCCTAAAATTTCTTCGACGCGCAAGAAAGGGAGAGAATTATGCTATTGCTTCGATGTCCATAAAATTGAATAAAAAGTAAATTACATGTGAAGCATCTAACTATCAGACCAACCGCCTTTTTTCCTCGGCTTCTTCAATTCCAATTTGAAACCTGTTGTCTTCACTGCAAGCTTCGTTTTCGAACATGGGAGGAGGAGGTGGTGGTGGAGCAGTAGCAGTGGATCTCTTCTTAGGAGACTTGTTATCCGGCAACATCTTCAATATGATCCCCATAGTTATCAACAAAAGTCCGCTCCCATGTTGTTCAGTTAACGGCTTTGTGAAGATCAGATATGACAGCAGTAGAGTTACTGCTTTTCTGGCAGTTGTCACCTATTTATATAGTTTGATGTAAACCAAGAGTATATTAGATTTTAACCAGTATGCCCAACATTCATGATACATTGGAGTAGCAGTATTCGACAGTACTGACTATTCTTTTCAAGTCTACCTTTCCGATCATGCCATCGATGTTCATGAGATAGGCAAGGGCATAACATAAGGTCCAATAGAAATCCTCAAGCATAAAATTTGAAATTTTCATGGAAGATATGTGGACTTATCTCAATATCGTTAAATAATGTCATCCGAGAGGATAATATAACCCTAGAATTTTAAAAGCAATTTTAAACAGTGGCCTCTACAAGTCACCAATAGCTGTTGAATGTGGGATCAGAACATACCATAGCGGTGGTGGCAGCACCAAATAGGGCAATTAGGGAAAGAACAGACACTTGTCCTATAAAGGTTGCCATGGCTTCAAATACAAGAACTCCATAAACATAAGGATGCTGCAGAAACAAGAGAATTTAACTTAGTAATGTCTGTAAAGGATTATAATGAAACTAAATTTGATTATTGGAATTTACCTGCGAACACGAACTCCATGCCTTAAATAGTTCTCCCGTAACAAGCATTGGTGGGATCAAGAAAGGCATGCCAACGAGGGTAGAGCAAAAAAGCATTTCCGTCTGTCAAAAGATTGAACAAATGTGTGACGAAGGAAAATTTTCTAATCATGAATTTCTCATGACAACTTTTTTCCCACCAAGAATCAAATCAAAAGCATCACCTGCGTTGTTGCAGGATTCATGGTAAAGATAGCTTCTTGCAAATTACCCAAAAAGGCATCCATAATCAACGCGCCAGATACCATCAAGACACCAATCACACTGAAATTAGGTGAAGTATGAGCATCTGCTAAGGTGAAAAGGATCAAACCCACCACCAAAAGCACAGCAGATACGTATTCATGAGGTGGATATTTCCGTTTCAAACCAGGAATGAAGGCTCCCATTACCATAACCGGCAAAACCTGTATACAATCACAACAAATTATTAACTGGGATATCATTGAAGTGGTGAACAAATCTTTTCATCACAAGCAAGCAATTCAAGTGAAAATACAATTTTCCATTAATCTGAAGTGCATCTTTGGTTCGCAGCTGGCAGCACTATGATACACATGATTTAAACTTCTTTTTCTACCTTAGTATTGTTCATTACCATCAAATCATCTATACCAAGCGTACCATTTGACTTTATTATCCTCTAATTTTCATCTTCATAATGTTAAAAACTTACTCAGTCTTGTATATGCACGGAATATTAATTGACTTATAGTAACGTCTTATCTGGCTTAAATTCGATACTATTATAAGAACTAGAACTACATGGAAATCATCCAATTATAAGCAGATTCAGATCTTATGCCAACCCATTTATCTTCAACACGATTAAAGTAAGCCATTGGATTTCTTTTTCACCTTGGTGGATTTGAACATGAGCTGTGCCGGATAGTTGAGAAAAGCCAGAGAGCCTTTGGTAAGTCCATTTGAACCCATTAGCACAGCAGAGAGCTTCACGTAAGTCTTCCATGGGTTGACCATTTGCTTAGGGGTGAAGCCTTGCAAGTATATCAAGAATATATACACCCATCCTTGAACAAAGGTGAAGTACCATCCATAGCTACAAGACGTAGACCAACGAAAGGTCTGATTAGAAAAAAATTACAAAACTCATGAGATCCTGTAAAATCAAATTCCGTTTTCGAATATTGAAATTCATGACCTCACCTGAATTGGAGCCTGTTGTACACATATTCCTGAAATTTGAGCAAAATAAGTGAAAATACAGATCCGCATAAGATAGAAAATGTTACAGAATCGTTAGTAATTGAAAAGGGATAAATTGGGTCCATGCAGAGCCATATCAATTCGAAAGAAGTTAACAAAAAAACAAAGGATGATGAGGCCAATTAATGATGATATTATCTGCAAACCTAAATTATTTCTGTAACTGAAATCCCACCGCCTTCGCATGTAAGGTAAGCATCAAAATGACAAATTCTATCAGCTTTAACAAAAATGTACAAATTGACAATCAAATACACAAAATTGGAATTAAAATTCAGAATTTAATACAATTAATATACCTAATGGAACATAAGAAAATATTACAATTAATCAACAGAAGTGAAATTCCTTACCCAGAACTCATCAACATGCAAACATCATTTCTTTTTACCCAAATGAAAAGACAAAATTTAATAGTTGCCTTCAATTATTTTTCCACCAAAACAAGTCCGAAAGATTAATATCATAACGGCTGCTTTTCCCTGAATTTTCCCATGAATTTTTTCAATTTTCGAAAATCAAACAAATGTCACGCACTAAACACCATCAAAGAAAATGATTTTTTTTTTATTTTTTAAATTCTTAAATGTTATACCTCACAGATGCCATTAACAAGATAACCAAAGAAGAACCCAGAAGAGCAAATGAGGAATTGTTTCCATCTGGGTCTCTCAGAGAGAGAAATCCCAAACAGAGTCCGGGATTGCTCTTCATTCTTCATCTTCTTCTATTTTTCTTTTTCTTTCTCACTTCACCGCTAGTTTTGTTGTAAAAAAAAAACTGTATGTATAGCTCTCCACAACGCCACAAATATACGCGTTTATTCACTCAAGATTTTAGGCTGAATTCAATGCTTTGCATGTTGACTTTGGGATACAGAGTACATTCACAGAGAAAAATGAAAAAGAAAAGAATTTAAGGAAATCGTATCGGGTTCATTACGCTATCAACAGAATCAATATATATGTGCATATATAAATTTGTATACATATATATATATATATGTTCATGAAAGAATCAAGAAGAAAAAGGAAAAGGAAAGATTTTAGAGAGAAAAGACGGAGAGTTTGACTTGCTGTAGAGAGAGAGAGAGAGAGAGAGAGACGAGGGAGAGAGAATGTGTAGGGGATTAAGAAGGATTTAATTATAATATATCAGAGATTTCTTAATCAATTAATTAAAAATTTATGCCATGGAAGCAAGTTACACGATGCATGAATCGCGTGGTTAAACCACGAGACTTGCAAATGCAATTTGAGATTAATTCATTTTTTATTTTAACTTAATGAAATACTTGTGAGTATTGAATGCAATTTGCACATTTTATGGGATCTCAAAGTTTAACGCAACGAGATCTTTAAGCTTTAACATATTTGTTATCGAGAAACGATCGAATATGTTATTTTAGAATAAAGTGCGTTGATTATTTTGTTTTATTTAGCATATAAAATGATGAGTATTAACGTTTAAATAATTTTATTAATAAAAAAAACTTGATTTAATTCGACGCTGCTTGTTAGAGCAATATTGGAAATTTTTTTGACGCATTACCTTCTGTGAAAGAGAGATTTTAATCGTGTATTAAATAGCATGTACCTGCATAAAAATTAATGTATTGTTAGTATTTAATTTTAAAGTTTTTTGGATGGTCATTGAACCTATGAAACCGTTATTATGTCTAGATTTCACCATTTGAAAAGTTGACAAATTTATTGACATGACGGACGAAATTGTTGACATGACACTTTATTTTCATTAATTAATGATTCCATGTATTAAAAGTAATATATTTACTTAATAACATATCACTAACTACAATTGTACTTTTTCTATTAATAATAAACGCGAATAATGAAAACTTGCATTACCTCAACATAGCATGTTGCTTAAGATGCATTTGTTGAGGCAAAGTAAAAGGGTTTATAGATTTGCACGTGGACTTCTTTTTCCAAGTATGTGAATGCTTGATTTCAATGTTCAATCCCTATAATATTTCTAGGCAATAGGCTTGGAGTAATATTTTTCACTTTTTTATTCAATGTTCTGAAAGCGTAAAACATAGATACGAGTGGAGGTCAAATTTAAAGATTTATGAGCTAATGCGAGCCTAGGTAAAAAATATTTTTTTTAAAAAAAATTAATATATTTTTATTTTTTTAATCATTCTAAAATTCATTTAATAATTAAAATAATACATATCAAACGTGTAAAATTATAAAATATTTGTGAAGTCGTGTTTATAAAATGTGGTTTTTTAAGTGATTGCCTACTTTGGATGATTGACACGTGGCCGTTGGCCTGTGACACTGGAAGCTTCTATTTCTGGCGTCTCTTTATTTGGCTCAAGGCTTGACTCATCATTTGGTTCTTTGAAGGCTTTTGGTTGATAGAAAAAATATCTCTTGGGTTTATTAAGGTTTCTTCGTATCTCTCAGATTATAGAATTTCTGATTTCAGATCTGTAATCTGAGTGATGTTTTCCCTAATGTGTGATATTCTAAGTGAATATATGTGAGAATGAGTGTTTGGTAGAGTTGGTTGATACTTAGTGAGTTTTGTGAAGTTTTTTGGTGATTCTTCGAAGCTTTTCTATAGATTTAGAGATATAAGTGCTTTGGTTCTTTATTTCTTTTGTATTGGGTCAAGCTTTCGTAATTTTGTTTTCAATTTGGGCAATCTAATGCAATCGAGCATAATCTATATTATTGGATGCTCAACAGAGAATATAGGCGTTAGATGTGATCACCGAACCTCCGGAGTTTAGGCCGAAATAACTCTTTTTGTTGATTCTTTAATTTTCTACACTTTTACCTTCTGCAAATCATTTATCTTTGCAACTCGAATAGTAATATCGTATTATCTTGTGGTTGTTGGTCCTACAGTATAGTTGAACACAAAATAGTATTAATGTGTCATCTTTTATTTCATTTTATCATGTCAATTTTTGTGTCATGACTCCTATTATGCTTGTTGTACACCATGCTATACAGCATGGTGTACGAGCCTCCTCACACATGAGGGGGCCCACCATAATTAAAAAATTGATGGACCCTCTCATGTGCAAGAGGGTTGCCCTATGTGTGAGGGACTGTATAGTATATAGTATGATGTACAACCATCTTAATCCTTTGATATGTTATAGGGGTGGCTTCGTACAAAGTTTTTTGTAGTGCTTTCAAAAGCAAACCAAAGCCTGTGGATTTCTCAGAACTCTCTTACCTCACTCCTGTAAAGAAAAAAATGATTAAATATTAAAAATCAGAACAAATTAAAAAAAAAAAAAAAGAGAGGCATCTGATGGAGTATGAATATATTTTAAATGCCTATCTTCGTTAGTCATGTGAACTCATATCGAATCAAGCATATAAAACTTGTTACAATTGACTAAGTCCTCCATTGTTCAGTTTGAGAATAAAATAAAATAGAAAGAAAACTTGAAAGTCGTACAATTTTGGAAGACACTAATTTGAGTCTCGATATATTTATTTAATAAAATTTTGACGTGATTGCTTTAAGATTACTTCAGTTGCGTGGTTTAAAGAAAATTGATATATGGATCATGATTCTCGACCTCATCCGCGGAATACATATAAAAATTATGACTAAAAATTGAGGACTCTTAATTGGATCTACCACTTGAAAACAAAATAACTTTTTCAATAATAAATTAGAATTTAATCTTAATGAAAAAGAGAAACGATATTTATCGTGGATTGATAATGAACAGCATTAATCATTATTCACAGTGAACCCTAAACCGACCCAAAGTCAATGTATTTTATCGGATTCACAATTTTTCAATTACACATTTTATTAACTTTTTATTAAAAAAATACTAAAATGCTTATTTTTAGCTATACCAGATAGAGGCTAAGCAATTTATTTATTTATTTTAACGAGATTGTATGATTTTTGTGCAATTTTATTTATTTATTTTTATTTTTTTGTGTGTGTCGATGCAATTTATATTTCAATAACTTATGGTGTTAGTTTATTTTTAGTCATTGTCTATTAGTGTCATGCCCACTTGTCAGTGTATATTGTTATATTTTTACTTTTAATAATGCAACATTTAATGCGTTTATTTAATTAATACAAAACTTTTATATATTGGAATAACTGAAATTACACTCATGCAGTGACAGATTAATATATAGACCAGTGAGAAAATTGCTCAAGGTTCCACATTTAGATAATGTTTCCAAATTTTATAGAATTCCATTCTAAATTGTTTTACACTGGTTTCGATTTTTGTGTCGATGATAATTAAAAGACTTATTTTGATAAATTTGTTGTATTGACAAAAATGCACGTAGGTAACTGAATAACAATGAAAATAATGGTTAATCATTAAAAATTGAATTTTGTCATTGATAATGATTTTAAATAATTATCGCAATATATTTACGAGGGTGTTTTCAACTAAGATTTTAATGAATTTTAAATGATTATAAACTCTAATAAATTTTGTGGATTTGATAGATTCTTACAAATTCTATAAAAATCTTATCAAATATGGTGAAATTTCAAAAGATTTGCTTATATGTATTTTTAAGCTTGAAATCCCTCCAAATCTTTTAAAATCCTTCTATTGATAAAATATTTATAAATCTAAATTTTAAAGAATTTAATTAAAATCTCAACTGGGGACACCTAAATTTTAATGGATTTTATTAAAATCCAATAAAATATTAATTGAATACAACTAAATTTAGAATAACTTTTAAAATTTATCACAATCTCAATTGAAAACACCCTCTTTAATTTATTGATAAAATTTTCATTGTATACTAAAAATTAAAATATTACCTTAATTTTTTGTCAAATTTTGTTGACAGTTAAATAATAGTTAAGAAATAATTTAGGATTACAATGAATTATTAGTATATAATATTTAAAAAGTAAACAACTTAATAAATTCAATATTGACGAAGATATCATCAATAAATAAAGTAATTAAAATATAAAATAAAATGGTCATGGAAAAAATTAATAATTTTTTATTTAGAATATAATAAAATTTAAGTTAATGATGACATACTACAAAAAAAAGGGCGAATAATTGTTAAGAAAGGTTATATCGCTGCTCATTGTTTTCTACTAGGGATTTCTGTGGATTATCCTTCTACGCAATATTACAAGATTCTACATTACAAGTTGAGATTTGCTGTCTAATTTTATTGTCTATTCAATTAATTCTTGACATATCATCAATTTAACAGATTAGTATCTTGTGATAAAGTTAACGAGGATAAATTTGAAATAATTAAGAATTAACTGAATGAACAGTAAAATTGGATAGCAGATCTCGACTCCTTCATGACAATGCGCAATGCAGTGTATGAGGATTCAAGACGTTCTTTGGAGAATCCTGATAATGGTAGTTCCCCATGTACAGGATATTGTTGTACTTTTACTATACACCATAATTTTATCAATTTCGACTCTTCAAATGCTTGATCCTCCAACAAAAAGCTTGATCGGGAGTGAATCATTGTAAGGGTTTTCAACAAATCTAACATTTTTTCTCGATAAAGCCTTAAAGACTAGCAATCTGGAATTTGTTGATGAGACTGCTTTCTTAGACTTGCTCAGTTGTGAACTTCCAATTATCACGTAGATAGAAAAATATATTTTAGAAATAATTGGGGATGAAAAAGGGGGCTAAATTTGTTGTAGATACGTAGATAAGGTGCTTGTTATTACTGTTGCGGGTGTGCATCACAAAAAGACAATTACATGGATATTCTTAATCTTTGATTATGTCAGTAAATAGCACTTAAAAAATTATTTTAATATGGAGAACAAATTTTTAGTTTGTAATATTAAAAATAAAAATTTTCATAAATTTAATTTAGTGACAGAATTTCTTTCATAAATAAATCAATAAAAATATAAATTTATTTTTATAACTTAACTTAGAAATATTGTCTATGAATTAAGTAGTAAAATACAAAATTTATAAACTGCTGTTATAAAAATTTGTTGGTAACAAAATAACATTTAAAAAATAGAAAGTAAAACATAGAAAGATATATTAATCCCATATTTGATATGGATTACAACATATATTTTATTAAAATC